TTTAAATGCAAAGTAACTTTTTCCCCAGTGTAGTCACCTCATTTAAGTTTGTGTTGTTTAACTACTCAAGACAGTTTAAAGCCCAAGAATAGAACCAAACTTTAGATTGCAGCAGCTCAGTGCTGGTAGGTTCACCTCTTCTAGGTTTTCACACCATTAACCACTGGGTTGTTTTAAAGCGGTTTCTAGGACCACTTAAAATCTGATCAATTATTTGTTTTGCAAACAACATTGTTAAATATTTTACCTTCACTCAGGCTTTTAAGGAACATTTTAGAGTTAGTTTCAGGTTTCCCTAAAAAGAGCCTATTTCTAACAAGTATTAATAGTGTATGCTTGCACAGCGAGCAGTAGATGTTCCAGATAAGCATTTCTAGAAACTTATTTTGAAATCACATGACCAGTAGTTTCTGTCATCTATCAAACAAGGAACACTACCATAGAATTGGTGACTATCAATTCATAATTTAAAGACAGGAGAAAAAACAAGGGGAGATTCTGATGACCTCACAGTCTCTGCAGACCAAATGAATTTGCAGCAAACATTACCAAAAGGCATGTAAGTAAGTAGAAAAGAGAGACAAATAAAAAGTGATTTGAAAACTACTTGAAAACAATAAATTTGAAAACTATTTGAAAACAATAAATTAGTTTGGCATAAAGAGTTAAGTTTTCTACAAAAATATGGAAGATCTAGTTTATTCAGTCCAGTCAACCTAGACTCCATGAAGATGTGTGATGTAGTAGCACATAGAAATAATGAGGAGACTCAGGTGGCAACTAGCAGAAGATGTCAAGATACCTAAGGAATTGACTACAACTTGCTATGGACATAACAGGACTGAAAGTAAAATATCAGCTTGGAGGGAGGTTACCTCTCTAGGACTCTTAAGAACCCACCTCATGACCGATCTTGTACAGTGTCTTCAGCAAGGACTTAGTCAGAAAACAAGGGTTTTCTAGCAAGCCACAGGCATTAGAAGAAACAGGTAGATAAAAATAACAGACATTGTATGAAATTTAGTAGTGTAAAAAAGAGTACATTGCTACTGGGATCTCAGGGTTGACCTCTAGCAGAGGAGAACAGAGAAGGCACAGAGTGCAGGTGTCTTAGACTTCTTGTACAAACGCTCTTGTGACCACCTAACACAGTTGCAATACGATCCAGATGCATGTACAGAGTTACTTCCGCCACAGAGAGGTAAACTCTCATCTGGTACAGTACATTCAAACTAATCAAGCATGCTCAGCATTCAAAACGTCAGACAACACAGAAAATGGATAGCAGGGCAACAGAAGGAACGGAGATGTCACCCAGGACTAAAAACTGTGGTCTGAGTAATGGCTCTGAGAAGACATGACTGCTGTCTGCACATCCAATGGGAAAGCAATCAGAGGGAAATCACTGCATCTAACAACAGTGGAACATCACTGGCACAAAAACCAACTAGTCACAGATATCCCGGGTGTTTGAGGAAACATCTCAACATCAGAGCAGTTAGACACCAGGGCCTAATTTCAATTTCTTTTAATGAGAGTAGAAGGAAAATAAACTTTCTCTTATAAGGCTGGAGACTGAAGATTCCTAGAAAAGTAATTAAACGGAATGATTGCTTGCAAATCAGGCTACTCTTTATTTTAAACCAGCAAGGTCCTAAACTTGGAAAGCCTTTTATAATTATACTGCTATTTTGTGTTCAGCACAAGTGAAAGCCATCATAAGTCTGTCGCACCAGGGTAAAACTAATTCCATCACAACCTTGGCTCTTTGAGGGAACAGCAGCAACATCCCACCTCTCAAGCTGAAGTCTGGGGTTTTAATCACCTATTTTTTTTTTGTCCAGGGCAAACTTTTGTAGCACATCTACCTCTAAAAGACAAAGTTAAAAAAAAACCCAAAAAAACAGGATACTTTGCATAGCAACATGAACACATTGTAGCTAAATGCTGCAAGACTCTTCCTTGCTGGACAAGTCGGCAGGTTACATAAGCTTTGAATTTTTAAAAATATGAACAAGCACACTAGCTTACCATCAGATATGTGAGCCTTAGGCCCTAGAACAATGGGGTATTTTTAAAAAGAATTTGAAATGCTCCGCATGATATTGCTTTATAAAAGATAATGGCCTCATTTTACTTCCCGTTTTGCAGTAACAAAAATTTCTCTGTTATTTACAAGCTGATAATATAAGAGTGTTTGCTTGTATATAGTATTTAGGAACTGTAGTATAAATATACAAAGGATTAAAATAATTGGAACTTAAAAGGCAAGGTTTTTTTAAAATGCACATGTAAAATGTAGAGAAATAACAAGTGTTTAAAGAAACGGAGAAATTCCATTGGAAAGTAAGAAGTACATTTCTCAGCAGTTTCATTTTTCAGCTGTGTTTCCAACTGAAACGTTTCATCTTTGTGCTAAAACAAAGATACATGAAAGTCAGTGAGTAGAAATCAATTACAAAAATGAAACTATCTTGTCTGTTTTTACTATTTGAGGAAGAAGGTTTTCAAACACCTGTAAATCTTAGCAGTTAAAATTATTTGTGTCACTTAAACTTAGAAATCCTTTAATTTATTTTTTCAACTGATTCAATTGCAGGCAACCTAGTCAGAGAAATTTACTTTGAATAAAAAAAGGAAGATGTTGAACATGGCAATTTCCCTTCCATCACAAGGGTGACAGTCATCTCGCATTTGTGCTTCTAAAGTGCCTTCCGCAATGAGGTGCTGACCCATCACAAGGAACAGGGGCATTATCAAAGCACAAATAAAGGCACGACTAATTGCTGGATACAAAGACAGAAGTAAAGTAGTTAATGTTCTCAAGCTAGGGTTTGATAAAGAACTGAGAGCACTGTCTGTATCCATATCAAGACAATAATTAAAAAAAAAAAAGAAGCAATTCACATATATTCCTTCACGTACAGGTATCTACCAAATTTCTTCTTGAAACTGTTAGGCACAATCTCTTTCAAGACTATTGTGAACAAACACACACAGAAATTACATACTTTAATGTAAACTTAACCATAAGAATTCAATAAACAAAATAGTTAAGAAACAAAGAGGTTCCAGCAGCAACAATGATGTCTGCAGTATCAAACACACCTACAAAAAGTTTCCAACGGGCCGCACCAACTGGAATGCAACATCTAACAGAAGTTTTTCCTTCACGCACTAGTATTAATTTAAATTCATGCAGCACTATCCCCAGTGGAACCTCACAAGCTGACTCTTTGCCAGATTACACTTAATAACCAAGCCACAAACAGACCCAGGTAAGGTACTGACAATTGCGGAATACAGCTCAGCCGGCTAAATTGGCCACAATTTCTTCAATGTATGTAGAAACACACAGTATGTTGGGGTTTTATTTCAAACATCAACCCCATGGTTTCAAGTATGATTCTTTGATTAGTAAAAAATTCTAAGAGGCTGTTAGACTTAAACTGAAGTGTCAAAATAATAATTCCTTAGATCTCCCAGGGGAAATTCCCAGGATTGCCGAGATGCTCATGCCAACTCAAAACTCATGTTCATCAGGAAACACACCACCTTAACCATTTAATTTTTGCCTAGCAAAAAGTGTTTCTGTGGCTATAGCAGAATCCATTCCCATAGCTGCTACAGGGATCCAAAGACTGGGACCAAGAACTGACAGCCTCACCACGTTTCTTCACTCCTGTTATCATGCACAGTTGTCGTCTGTACCGGACATTGCTGCTAACACCATTAGCAGTTTCAGATGTGCCCAGGAGTTCCTGCCATCAAGAACATGTTATCTCATGTATCCTACATATCAAGGTGCAGGAGAAAGAGGCAAACACTGCTGGTTTGAAAAAGATCTATCAGGGATCCAAAAAAGAGCATTTCCCAAGCTTTGCAAAACTAGTGGGCACAGGGGCCAGCTTTAGTAACACTTTACATACTCAACACGTTGGCTTGGTTAGCAGGAAAACGTCTCACATCAGCTTTTAAAAACAAGGCACAGGAACTATTACCCGTAGAGTTACAAGGGCTTTTACAAGGTTTTTTCCACACTTGAAGAAAGTCAGAGAACTGCATGAGGTTTATGTTCCCCCCTCCCCCTAAAGGAATGAAGCTATGCTTGCATTTTAAAAACTGGTGATACACAGAAAAAAAAAAAAAAAAACAAAAACGATAGAATCTGCCTTTTATGAGGCAGTCATTGTTCAAATATTGCTTGAGAACAGTCTGATAAAGAGATGTTTTCCATGAATCAGAAACTATTAGGAACAACCTAGCAGTTCTTGATATACAGCTATTCCAGCACATTTTTTGTAATAAACTATTTAAATCAATAAGCCACTTTTATACCATTTCACAATCTTTCAAACTTTCGCAACAATGTTTGGAAAAATCATTAAAAAGTCATAAGAATCATCAACCATGCACACAATATTTGGTCACTTTATATTAAGAGTCCATGTATTAATATATTCATGACTTATAAAAGGCAGAGGCTTTCACAAATCATTAACCTACATTATTAACTGTTATGGCATCCAACAGCTCAGTCACGGTAACAACATGTAGCTACCTATTCTACCTTGCATTACCATGGTCACACCCCTCTGTAACATGCCCATAATGTGCTTATGACTTGCAGCAGTTCATAAATGATTGATAAAGAAATCTTAAAATGAAATAATGGCCGTGTATCTTTTCTTTTTTAAACCATCTGGGCTCTGAAGAGACAATATGTGAAAGCACAAGGAAAAGACGAAAACAAGATACATCTGATTTTAAGATGACAGATGAAGAAAAAGGGCTTTTGTTGTTTTTTTTAAAAAATATATCCAAGGTATTGATTACTCTCCAATGTAAGCTAACATTGCAACGGTACAATCAAGAGCATGACTTTATGAAGTTTTAAACGGAGAAGGGCACCTGGAGAAGTGGCAGTTGATGTATACTTAACTGAATTGCAAAATGAACTTAAGCAAAGAATTAAACTTTCAACCAGCGTAATCGCTTACCAATCTCAGCAGGTAGTTGCTTGATTTTGTTCTCTCGTATGCTAAGCATGGTGAGTTTTGACAAGTTTTTGATATCCTTTTCCACAGTAGTTATACGATTAAAGCGTAGGTAAAGAGTGGCGAGAGAGCTTAGCCTGTACACCACTGGCGGGATTTCTCGAAGTTTGTTATGCCGCAGGTCAAGCATGCGCAGCTTCTTCAAGTTATCCAGAGAGTCAGGCAAACTGGTAAGTGAGTTTTCACTTAGGGCCAGTGTCATCAGGTTCACAAGACAGCCTACCTCTGCTGGTAGGGACTGCAGTTTGTTACTGTATAAATAAAGTTCCGTTAACTGCGTCAGCTCTTTGATAGCTGATGGAAGCATGTGTATAGACCTCTTGGACAAGTCCAAGCGCATTGAATTCTCTTCCCGGCATTTATTTAGCTCTTTGATCACTTCAGCATTGCTGGATTTTTTGCGGGTACCTGTGGCTGGATTAGGTCTTTTTATCGTATTGTCCACTGAAAAAGCTACTCCAGGCTGTGTGCTACTGGAGTCCTTCTTTCCATCTTTGGCATCTTTCCCTTTGGTCTTAGGTTCCTTTTCTTTGCTGTCTTTCCCAAATCCTCCAGAGGCTTTGGCCTCCTTCTCCCTTTCTTTTGACGATGGGACTTTTGGATCCTTCTCTTTACAGTCCTTTTCTTTTCCTAGATTACTACTCATGATGACTCAACGTTTAGCAAGCACCACATGAAATCCGTTTCTGAAGTTCACAAGAACAATTCACTGCTGAGGCGACAAGGATCCTTAAAACATGCAAGCATTGAACCAAGGGAGGAACTTCCAAGGTGCGATACCCATTTGCTACATATTGGTTCTGAAGGC